AAAAAAAAAAAAAAAAAAATCTGGTAACAGATAACACAATTAATCACAAATCGAAGTGCTTTCGTAGGGGTTGGGGTGCAATCTCCAAAAAACGTTTTAAATTTTTTGAATTTTTTGAAGGGTTGGATTGGGGTGGGGTGTAATCTCCATAAAAGAAATTAATTTTTGAAATTTTTTTACTAGTTGGGATGTAGTGAGTAGGGTGTGGTTTCAGGGGTGGGTGTAATTTCGAAAAATGTTTTCAATTTTTGAAATTTTTTTATAGGTTGGGTGGAGTGGGAATAATTAATTCCAATTAATCATATATTATATATATTATTAATTGAAATTAACATTTGAATTTTGAAATAATTTGACAAGTTTGTTAATTTTAAAATGTAATTCTTATACATAAGAGATATATCGTTCAAATGTTGGGACAATGATTATATTGGGCAAAAATTAAAAATCTAATTACGATTAAATTATGGCATAATTAATTAAAAATATCATGTGAATATAGTTTTCAAAGAAAAAAATTTGCATCTTCGTTTTATTGATGGTGCTATGAATTCGGAATTGGGGTCTCCACAATGTTTTCTGAAGAGATAATTCAAATCGAACCAATTGGTTCAAATTGAATTTAAACAGATATATTTTGTGCATAATATCATAATAGGATCTAATTAATTATTATTATTATTATTATTATAGAAATAAGAGGGTTAAAATGTTCACCATACTGTATTGATTCTCCAAGTGAAACATTTTGCCATCTCTTCGAAAATTTGTACACTACATGCGCAATAGATAACAAATGTTGAGAAGCGTTTCTATAACAGTCAATTACCACAAAATATTTATGTAATTAGCTCTATTTAACAGTTTTCGGAAGGTGGGAAAACAGAAAGGAGAAACTACAGAAGCTTCTTACAAGTTACAATAATGGTAATTAACCCCAAGGTTGATGCATTAAGCTTCCATTTGGTGAAAAACAACACAGTCCAGATTTCCATGTTTCTAACACGTGAGAACTTATTCTACACAAATCATCAAGCAGCAAAAATCCACAAATAATAAATTGGTTCAACCAGTCTGTTCACTCGGGTTTGGTTTAATCCCACTGCAACAGAAGAAGTGTGGCAGCTTAACTCGACCGCATACCCTGCCAAAATACAGCGTTTAAAGAGTTTGGCATATACTGTAATTTAACTCAGTGAACAAATATAGTGAGACATTAGTTTTTCTCGTTTCTAGCATTGCCAGTCACAAAGTCTTGAACGACCCAAAACATTTGAAAGTCGAAGTACGATAGTGCAATTTCTTTCCAAGTTAAAAGAGCTTGTCCTCTGTGTTTCCAGGAGGATTTGTAATTGAATTACACGAATCCAAATCAACACATGCACATGGACATTATCGAATCTGCCACATACATAAGCATCCTGTCTTGGTCAATTTTGATCCTCAATTCTTTCATTGCCAACACTTTTAAAACAATATCTTAGACTTTTCTATATAATGTATCAAGAAATGCGTTAGTACTACGAGAAAGGTAGGTTATGTTAGAACTGTGCGATTATCAATTAATAACAAGTTTAATTAATTCTTATAGCAAACCCGCAAACCCGCTTAAGATATACTTAAAAATGTATCAACACCCTATGCATAATATAACACATTACAAGCGCTCAGTGGCTCAAAAGATCGGATTTTCCAATCAATTCCTCCTAGAGAATGTTGGGGAAAATATCAATACAACTCCTTTGCAGTCAAACAAAGTCCAAGTTGACCTCCTATAAACTATACACTCCAAATAGGTCACCACATCATAATAAATGATCATTTGGTTTTACTTCCTTTCTTTGTTTTATATAGAGATAGCAACATTTTACCCATCAAATTTCATATTTTAACATTGTCATCTTGAAAATAATTCACTGCATGATCATGACAAGACAGAAATATCAAGTTCACACTTGGAAAAACCTCTGTTTTTCCATATACTTTGGACATGGGGCAACATATTTTCTTGTTAAGGATTTGGTTGTTAGACAATAAACATAAAAAGGGTTTCCTTTAAAGAGATTCCTAGGTAAAAATATTTTCTTGTACTGAAATTAAACTATAAAAAAATGGGTTTATAAATTAACAAAATGCAGTTGCAAGCAAAACCCTTACTTGCAGCGGATGATCACTGGGACAGGTTTCAAAGCCTTTGGTCCATTCCTAATGCCTCTCTTGTGTGGAGAAACCTGCACGAAGCATTTGTCAATGACTCAAAAGTGTGTAAAAAAGGGAAGCACTAACATGTCATCAAATAATTAACTTCTTTGGACATTTTGGGCCTCAAAATGGTGATGTATATCAAAAAGAGTAGGTAAACCCATAGCACTGTGGAAGATTAGATGTATTAGGAGAGGATATTTTTGCACGCATTTTTGGGGGTTCACAATACTTTTATACTCACCTGACTCTCTTAGGAGTCTAATCGCCAACAACCTAGCAGGTGCTATAAACTGCAAGGCTCTCCAATGAACAAAAACAGAATAAAAAATGGTTCTCTATAGCCATCCTATATGCTAAAGGAGCATAAAGGACGAGACTTGAAAAAGAACCATCTACATTAAATAGTTCCTGTACCACCTATCACCTGTACCACTTACCACCTGTATACGAAGGCCCTAACAGAAGCCATGAGACCTTGGACACCACTATTCTATAGACACATTAGTGTATTTTTAATGCATTTTTTCAATAGTGTTTTTTGGTAGTCTTGTATGTGAAGTCTACATGAATGAACTTGACATGCATCTACCTCTTTGATACAATCTTAGAAACGTTTGAGTATCTTCTAGGGATATTATGGCAATTAAGATAGGATGTAATTAGGTAAATATATGTTGGAAACATCTGATTTGAACTTGCAAAGATGTGTATAAAATCAAATTTTCAGCACAAACAGGCACCTCAAGCAAAAGCCACCACATGATGCTGGTTTTAACTTTTCTCTATCAGCCTTTTCTCAACTCCTAGCAACTATTCCCGACCCAAACGCTCCAAACTCACATCTTAAGCTTTCTATGTTGTTCCAAGTGCAAGAGAAAGCAAGGGAAGAAAACAGAAGTAGAATTCAACGAGTTGAACCTGAAATTCTGGATAACTTCATAAACTTCGAAACTCATATTTCGATATACATTTAACTAAAAACCATAAGCCAAACTATTTAAAAAGTTTGAAATGATGATGTCGTTATCAAATGAGGAATGGAAGAAACCGAAACACAAAAATAATATCTTATTTTTTGTTTCTTCTTTTTGTTTCTTTTCCTCCAGTCCATAGATCTAAAAACACAGAAATGGAAAAGCTAAATTAGAGATTGACGGCAGCCGTATTCTCCAAATCAATCTACTACTGGAGAAATTTCATCACAATCAAGCATTTCTGCCACCAAAACCAGAGGAAAAACCTAAACTCGAGAAAAAATTAAATGAATGCAAGAGACAATCTCACAAACGCCATTACCAAAAATACAATTTACTAAACCCTAAACCCTTACGAAGAAAAAACTATAATACAGCATAATACAATCCAAAATCGGAGCTATCATAAAAACGAAAATAAACTAGCTAAAAAGTGATGTCCGAAATAAACTGATTACTCTTTCAGTGACTTATATTAGAAAAATTAAATCTTCGGAAGAAACTAAAAAACTACCTTCCTTTTGGGGACAGCCATAAGCTCCATCGAGCCACCTAAAAATGACCAATTCGGAAATACATCTTCGATCTCATTTCTGTATTGATGTTCTGGGAAACCCAACGGCGATGACGTGTGGCTGATGGTGGTACCAAGCGGCGGCGGCTGCGGGGCTATCGCGTGCGCCCATCGCCGGAGGCATCCTAAAGCACACCCCGTTCTCGAGGAGGCCCATTTTAGGGTCGCTACTCTTAACGCCATTTTAGTCTTCACTGCGTACGGCTGAGCTCTGAACTCTGTGGAATCAAGAGAGAAATTTCAGCAGTAGCGCTGTGGAGAAGCCATAACTGAGCCAAATTATGGGACTTGACATACAATTTGTAGGATACAAATCCAACCGATACAAATGGGCTTAAAACTAGGCTTTAAGATGTTGGGCCTTAGATGCCGTTCCCTCATTTTTGATAGCACACTCCAATTAAAATGGCCCATCCCAAAAGCCCCAAAATAAACCCAAGTGGCCGAATCTCATTCTCGGTCTCTGATCTCTCCCCTCTCCACTGGATTTTGCAGACTGAACCAGATTACAATCGCCATCCCGTTCACCTCTCCCGGCCACAAACATCCAAGCTCCTGCCGAGCATATTAGGTGAATCGTTTTATCTTTATTTTTTAACTTTTCTTTCATTCGATTTTTTGGCTGCAACTTCAATAAGTAATTGAGTGATGAATCTTTACAGTTTTTTGCTGCCTCCAGATTTCGTCTTTGATGAATCTATACGTTTTTATTCTATAAGTAATTAAGTATGAGTGCTGCATTTTGGATCTTTTTGAATACTTGAAAATTGAAAATTAGTTCAGGCTATAAGGTTTAACTTTGATATTTGAAACGAGATTTGTATCAAGAACAAATACAGTATTTATAATTTTTTTTTTCAGCCCCCAACATATTGTTCTGGGTCTACAACACTGTATTAATCCCTTTTATCTGTTCTTCATGTTCCCCTTTATCATTTGGTAAATTATGTTTTATGTAAAATTTAATTTTCTTTTCATTTATTGAAATCCTTATAGATTTTTGTATTACAGAGAGAATTCACGTTCAGCCATGTCGTATATGAGAGGAGATTTACTATCAAAAACCCGAAAACTAGTCAAAGGGTTAGCCAAATCCGAACCTGTCTGGCTTAAAGCCATGGAAAAGTAAGTATTTATTGTTGTTGCTAATTCTTTACTATGGTCTTGTAATCTGTGCAAAACTATTAAGGTTATTATAGTTAATTTGTTACATTTATAAAATTCAGAGCGCCACCAGCTACATTTCCTCGTGCCGAGAATAAGCTTAAGCCCATAAGCTTGCCAGAGGATGTTTACATCAGTAAATTCTTTCAGAAGCACCCGGATTCAAAGCATGAAGATACTATCAAGTAATTTCTTTAATCTATTTTGCGTGTCCTTTTTAGTGTCATCTACAAAATGATTTTAAGTTTGAATTGTGCTGTGTTGTCCTTAATATTTTTTATTGTACTCTTGTTATATTAATGAACTATAAAAGGAAAACGGTACATATTTAATTTCGAGTGTAAAGCTATTGTTAGAAGTGCTTTGACATCGTTGGTGCTCCTCACAGTGAGGCGGGTCTCAAGGCGGGCCTCAGCAGGGTTTTTTCATACCATGGGTAGAAGTGCTTTGACATCGTCATTACTAAAGCTAAAGCTAATATGCATTTTTGTTGTGATGATTCTCTAGCCATTTGAGATGACACATTATGGTTTACTTAAGAAATAAATCTCTGCTTATTCTTGGTCTCATTTAGTTTTGGCTTTTGCATGCTGACGAGGTTTTATTTGTTGTGCAAGTTTGTGGATGTTGGGATTAAGTTCAGAGTAATTCAACTAAGCTTGAATTCGATTCCCTTCATAGCTATTGAGTGCTTTATTTGTTGTGAGAGTACAACTATTGAGACCTTTTCACTAATTTAAAATTGAGTAGTTTTATGGTTTAGACTATCAGGCTATTTCCGTGAATGGTTTTTCATCACTTGTTTCCTAGCAGTGCTAATGAAATTTACTTTGAATATGCTCAACAGTTTAATATTTTCTCTTGAGATTTGTAGGTGACCTATCAATTTTAATGTTTCAAATTTTCAGTTTTATCATTCCAAATTTGTTAGTAAATACCAAATCTTTTAAATTTCTCAAGACAATAAACACCTGAGTAACTAGGTAAGTGGATGGTATTGATAATCACCACTAACAATTGGAAATTACTCATTTCAATTTCTTGCATGCCCACTACTTAACTATTATGTTTCAATGTAACCTGTCATGTAAACACAGAACTTGATTTTACTAATGTAGCAAGCTGTAAATAGATGAGAATGCCAATCATCAGAAGAGTTTTGTATGTAGTGATGAAACTAATTCAATGTTAACAGCCACTTGAGGAAAATTATGTCATCCTGAATTGTGATGAATGATGATTTCATTCTAATTGAAGATTGGAGTTTTACTCAGAAAAAAGAATCACATCCTAATTCACAACATTGTATGGATTTGTAAGTGGAATAATTGTGATTTTGCTAATGAATCTCCTGCCACCTCCCAAAAGCCGATAGGAGAGCTGTACATGTATATCACATAGCTGCAGGGATATTTAGTAACCATGGCCCCAATATGCACTAAACCTCTAAATCTGCAGCTTCATCTCACATTAAAGGTCTGTAAATTTTAAATAGATTCATTGAAGAATCCACGCGTTCACTTTTTGATATAGTATGACAATCAAGATTCATTGAAGCATATTACTTGATTACTTGGAGATAAAAAATAAAAAAAAGCAAGCACATGTTGTCTTGGAGATATACGAAGGGGGTGTTTAATAAAACTGAAATCTGAACACTGAAGTTTAAAGTTTTTGAACTTAATTAAGATGCTGAATTCAGAAAACTGAAGAGTTAGTGTCAATTTTCTAAATTCAAGTGTTGAACTTGATTGAATTCTGAATATTTCTTCTTTATTTTTCACTTTGTTTAATTGTTTCTGCATTAGTTAAACCAACATATAATTATTGATAAATGATCTTTGTACATTTTTCAAACCTTGGAGAGGTGATTGAATGAGAGCCTTCTGGTGCTTTAGAGAGGGAGGGAGATGTCGGAAGGATATTGTTTTGGAATGAAGTTGTCTGCCTAGTCTCTTATTTATAAACTTAATCACTTAACCTAAATAGCATTAAATTTTATTAATCCCATAAAGATGAAAGTTTTGGCCTCCTAGTAGTGATACTTGTGATTTTAAGTGGCACCACTTTTGCATCATAACAACACTGAACTTAGGATGCAACATCTTCAGTTTCAGTTGCTCAATAAGATTACTAAACACCCCGTAAGTGAGTTCAAAGTTAATGATGAGGATTCACTCTCTTTTCTAGTTTGATTGATAGACTAGCTTATTGCTAATAAATAAAATAAATAAACAAACAGAATTTGATTTCCTGAGCATGCTGTCTTTGAAAGTTAATTGCTCTCTATCTTTAAAACACTTTACGAATTCCTCTATGTATGGCATCAGCGTGGTAAATTTTCTGATAAATTTTTTTTGTTTCTGTGATGTCATGCTTTTGCACTACGGTTAGGGATTTTCATTGCTGATATTGAAATTCTCAAGCCAATAAGGAGACACATGCTGTAACAATAATACTAAGTCAGTAATACTAGAAACCAAAACTGGAGTGATCTAAATTCACCATGCAGAATCTTGATTAAAACAGTTCAGAAGTGGGGAAAGAAGCAAAATGAAACCCCTTCACTGTGCTGGTGAAAGCTAAAATAGAGAGAAGCAAGTAGTGTTATCATCTGACAGGAAGGAAAATGATGTTTATTGAGCTTAATAGATTTATAATTTATGTTTCCCGAGCTGAGAATTAAAAAATTCGGTTAAATTTGTATTTCCAAATTCCTTATCAGATCATTTCATGTTTCAACAGGATTGGTGGTTTTGACCCTCCTCCGGCCCGTGTATTTGGCTGGCGAGTTCTTGAGTTGAAGGAGCAGGGCGTCAGTGAGGAGGAAGCTATGGCCATGGCGGATGTATGTATTTTTCCTTGCCAATTTAAATTTTTTAGGCCTTGTCTTATATGATCTATCGCTTATGTTGCGAGACAAGATCAAGAACTTGTAAATGGTCCTCCATTTATCGCCTAACCTTAGGGTTACATTTGTTGTAGATGGAATATCATGCTCAAAGAAAAGTCAAAAAGAAAGCATATGCTCGTCTGAAGCAAATTGCAAAGCTTCAGGGGAAGAAACCACCACCAAATCCATATCCTAGTGCTATCAAGGAGATACAGGCTGAGGAAAGAAAGTTTGTCCATGATCGGTTCCATGATCCCAGGATACTTGAAATTGTTCAGAAACTGAAAGTGGAGAGGGCTGCATTTTTGCAGGACAGAAGCAGTTCTGGTCGCTTTTGAAATGGTAATGCTGGTTCAGGGCTAGCGTAATTGTTAGTAGTTTGAAGCTGATTTCAACTGTGCTCATTATCAATAGGCTGTGGATTTCCCTCGCTTAGTCGGATAAATTTTCGATAGTAAGTAATAATTAATTAACTTTTAGCGTGACAGATATTTGGATGAATGTTGTTATGCCAGCAATTATTCAAAAATTCTTATTCCGATTGACACGATTATCTCCAGAGTAAACGGTTTTAAAAAAAACCCGTTTGCAAGATTTGTCACCCCGGTGCATAGGGACACCTTATTTTCATGGAACACTAAACAGTCTGTTTGACAGAATTGTACCTAGTATTGACTTTGTTTTCATTGAATGAAGTGGATGGACTCTCTTTTCATATACTTGGTTTTAAAATTAAATTTAAGACGTGCATCTTCTTGTTTTCCTACGCACAAGTCTTGTCATTCTTTCATCTTAATTATTCAAGCGCTTCGGAAACAAGAACTTGAATTTCACGAATTAAATAGAGAGGATCGATGTATTACAAGCAGATGTCGGCTCCTCATCCTAGTGCCTGCCCTGCTTGTTCAATTAGACGCTCAATGATATTACCCCCTGTATTCTTATTTTTAACTCATTTAACTAGAGCTCATTTTATAATTTAGTAAAAGTTGAGGGTCCAAGAATGAATTTGATTGAAGGGAGAATTAGAGCATCTCCCATACAACAATATGCATGTACAACGGTGTGGCAAACAAAATGTGGGATGAACAGAATATCATCTTCAACGGGATTGTGGATTGCATTC